AAATGTTCCAAGTTTCTAATGTTCCCATTGTTTTTGACTACCCCCCCCCTTCTTCCCTTCTTCTTTTCCTACATCTTTCCTCTTCCTCTCTACCAGAATTTTGGCTCTTCTGTCTTTGTATGCCTTGCCTATTTTTCTGATATCTTTTTTCCATTTCTTTCTTCTATGGGAGGGAGAAGACAGAGATTGAGTGATGTTAGAAATAGTACCCTTGGGACTGCAAGGAGCAGGGAATATTGGACATAAGTTAATCTTTGCAAGAAAGGAATTTGAAAAAAATGAGTATGGAAGGCTTTTGGTTGCCATATTTAGCCCAGTTTCATCTACTTCTTTCCCAAGGTCATTCTTGCTCCCGTCCCTTGCTCACCAAGAATAAAAGGTCACAGTCCCAGTGCATCTCCACGGGAAACTTAGGAGCTAGCAGGATTCGTCCTTTGGAGCAAACAGCTTTGTACATGTTTGTTTCTCTCTTTCTATCCCTTCTTGCCTGTAGATGACAGGGACCTCCGGTGCTGTGGTCACTTCTATGTTTTATTCCAGGGTTAATGTAGTCTTTAGTCTCTGCCTATTCTGCATTTTCTCTTCCTGAATCCATAGTATTCTGTTTCATGTGCCATGAAGGCTGGAGGAAATTCTCAGGTCCTCTCCTCCCCTTCCAGTGATGACCTCCTATTGCCAGAATGGCAATACTTTGAGAATACTCACAGTGGATGCAGGAGGGGACTATTGGGATGCCCAACCCAGGTCCCATAGTCTGGCCCTGGGGAATGTGCCCAGAGCATTAGGAGCCCATTGAGCCTAACTAAGGCCTGCGGTCATGCTGAATCCAACAACTAGGGCTGGTTTGTAGTAAGCCTGGCAAAGTCAGAGCTGGGCAGAACTCCATACTGCTCTTGCTTTCCAAAGGCCCAATCATGATCACGCAATTTAAACCTATGCCCCCTGAAGCAGTTAACAAATGAAAAAAGAGCACCCAAATGAAAAAAAAGAGCACCTGTAAAACTTGTTCTAATTGCTGGGAATTTTATTTGCATTTGTTTTCTGGAATCCCTTTGGAGAACAAGCATCCCACAAAAACAAACAGCAAAGGGAGAATACTGTTCAACACCAGGTAACACCTGGTTTCTTCCTCTGTCTTAATCTGTTACTTAAAAAATAGAACTTTGTTCAGGTCATGCTCCCAATGGCCTATGCTAGCACACTGTGCCATTCCCAAAAGGGAAGTAGGATCCCCAGCCACAGGAAATATTGCCAAGAATCAAAGAAATCAAAACTGAACTAACCTGGATAATATTTCCAGTTCAAAATCCTGTCCTTTTAAAAAGCAGCCACACAGTATAAAAGGAAGGCTAAAGGAAAGTCCTCAGTTTTTCTTCACCATTATGACATTTCATTAATTGTATTGATATATTTTTGTGATATGAAAGTAAAAGTAGATAGTGAATTAGATACTATTTTTAAAATCTTTTCCCCAAAAATAATTTGGTAGAGTATCTCTTAATTTCTTTGAGCCGAAGTTTTTTCATTTGTAAAGTGCTGCTGCTGAATCAATCAGTTGAATTGCTATAGTTCCTTCTGGGTTCCATCCTGTGATTTTGCTTATAGGAAATATATGGGAAGCCTTGGTGAGGGACAGTGAGGACTAGGATTCAGACTTACAATTCCAGCAGGATAGAAGTATTCCAGGTTTTAGAAATTCCCTCCAGTAATGTACACGTGTGTGCATGCACACACATATATCTTCTAGTCTCAGTGAAAACATCAGCTCAGAGACTGGACATACTTTGCTTGCTTGGAGAAGAAACAGCTTAGTTTGTGTAGATTGAGTCAATCATGGGACCATGCTCCTGGGTCTTTTTGATGTGTCCTGATTTTGTTTCAGAAATGAAGCTTTCTCCCTCCTCCTTCAGAGTCCCAATCCTCATATATTCGTCAGTGAACACAATAATGGAAAGATCAGCTTGCTTCCTAAGTCGACTTCTGAATTTTCAAAGAGTCATGTGAATGTTTGTAAAATAGCAACGGGCAGCTGATATCTCTGTAAGACTCCACCATCCCCACTGTTTACATGTTATCTGATCCCTTGCAAAAACCCAGTGAGATAATTAACATATGTGTGTGTGTGTGTATATATATATATATGTGTATATATATATATATATATATACACACACACATATATATATATATATAATTTTACTCCACTTTATATAAGTGGAAACATGCTCAGAGTTAAATGACTCAATGGTCATACAGTTAGTCGTAGTTACAATTTAAAGCCAGTTCTCCTGATCATTATAACAGAAATGCACCAGCACCAGATGGCTTTGGGGATTAAGAAAAACCATGCTCTCACTAAGCCCAGGGTTCTGGATCCAAGATTTCCATGACTTGCAAAGAAATCACTTTGAAATTCTACATACTCATAGTTAATATAAAGCTTTCTGTTTACTACTAAGTTAATCAATTTCAAAAGGGGCATTTTCTCTCTTTTTGAAATCAGAAGGTCAGTTGCTTCAGTTGTGATGAGCACTACCAAAAGTCTTGAATTTTTATTTTTCCGGCTTTGAAGTAAACATTTTAAAAGATTTTTTTTTTTGGTTCACCAAAACTTAAGCCGACATAAACATTTCAAGATATAAAAATGAACAGGGAAGAAGACTGACAGAAAGTGTTTATGTTAACATATCATTTAAAAAAATATAAGTTTAACAAGGTAGTTACAAAATTCTATGCCTATGTCCTTCTGCATTTTTACTTCTTTGCTTTTTGAAACCTGTTCCTGGCACTCCCCTTTTTGTCCATGTCTATTGCTCACCTTTAACCCAACTCTCCTCAATGGACCTCTTCTTGTAATGATATTATAGTCAAGCAAAAGAAATCATTCAGTTGTCCAGGCACATCTGAGAATGCACATATCCAATTATGTACATTTCTCTACCAAGAGAGGAGATATTGCATCCTCGTTGATCTTTTAATAATCATGTCATATGTAAAAGAGCTTACAAAATGGTGAGGCCAAGAAAACTTTTTTTTTTTTTGTAAATTGGGCATCATGGTGATATATACTTTTTATACACAAAGGCAGCATGTTGGGTGTCATTCAAATAGGAGAGGGAGGAAGGGTACAGTCTTTTAAGAGTCTTTTAAGTCTTTCAAGAGTCACTTACTTTGGGTGATTTCGACTTGGGTCTTAGCAGTTAGTCCCAGCAGCCCTGACTTCCACCAATGGAATATGCATCATATGGAGTCAATAGTTATTCTGGAACCTTTTTGTAGGATGGGCAGCATAACCAGACTAGGTAAATGGCCCCAATGCGCAAGATCCAAGGGACATGGCATAGTACTCAAACTCAGGTTATGGTCACAAAATGCTCTCCTCCCATGATGTAGGTACTGCGGTCTCAGTGGCCACTCCTCATGGCCCTTGATCACACTAGGGAATAAATGGGCATCTTTCCTGTCATCTTAATTCCTTCCCATCAGCTACCAGTTCAGATCCTTAGCTAGGCCCTCCTGGGACCTTATCCTGGAAGAGGTAGCATTGGATGGAGCCTTAAGTAGAGCTCACTAGACTCTTAAATGAAAGAGAGGCTCTAAGTGCAGAGTTGTATGTATGTGTGAGGGGTATATGGAAGAGAGGCTCTAAGTGCATGGAGTGTGTTGGGTACACTGTGGTGGTAGATTTAGGCTCCAAGTACAAGCGGAGGGGGGAGTCTATCCCCTCATCAAAGCAGTACAGGTTTCTAAGCTTTTGTGAGTCGGCTCCCCCAAGTTTCACCTTTGGTAACTGGAGAATTTCTTCATATTCACTCTGTAGTGAAGATATCTTGTTGACACTTTTAAAAATCCTTCTCTTGCCTAGATACAGATTTGTCTATGCTGCCAAAGGTGCATGCAATTTTGAGAGGATTACTATCTTTCAAAGACAACCCTGAGACAATGTCTTCTTTTCAGAGATGATAGTGGTGATAAAGTTATAGCTTAGCAAGTAAAGAAAAAGGCAGCAGCTAGTACTGCCACACCTAGTACTGTTCCTCCTCCTCCAAGCTTTCCTCCTCTTGTTCTAGAATCATGGAATGAACGAACACACTACAGATTTACTGAAGGGGCCAGTCACTTGACCCAGTGAGACACTGAGTCGAGGCTGCCTGGCTGGTCACACTCTGTGCTCTTTCATTCCGTTTAAGTAGTACCCCAATCCCATTCTGCCTTTCTATCATGGCCAGAGGATGATCCCTGTTCTCTTGTTAACAAACTGCCCTTCTTATTAGATGTGTGCGAGGTCCCCTAGAAAATGATGTGATTTCATCTATGGTTCCTGCTATTTCCTCTTCCCTCTGCCCCCCAGAAAATATAAGTTTCCTGAGGGGAAGGGAAAACAAGGTTCATTTTGTCTTTGTATCACTTGTGCCAAGCACACCAGAGTTGTGCTTAATAAAATATCTGCTGAATGAAAATTAATATCAACATTTTACAAAGGAGGAAAACCTCAGCTCCAGGACATTAGGAGACTTACTCAGTGATTACACAGCAAATAAATGTTGAAGCCAGGGACACACAACAGGTCTCAGCACAGGTACCAAAAGTAAACAGGCACCTATGGGCAGTCTCGGGGTAAGGAGAATAACAAGAACAGGCAAGCAGCCAGATGTCGAGGCCAGAAGAAGTGGTATCAGGCATTGATCCTCTGAGTGGGGAGGCAGGTGGCAGTGGGATCTCTGGAAGAGGGCCACCTAGTAGGTGAGCAGAGAGCGAGGACAGAAAGAAGGGCAGGAGCTCAATGAAGTGCTGAGAAACTGAGCTACAAAGGAAATGTCATCCACACTCCAGGAAGATTCCCTCCTTCCTAATCTCTCCCCTCCCCAAACCTCTTCCCTTGTCTCTCACTGCCAAGGTGTGTCTGCTTCTTCCCACCCCACCCCCCACCTCGCCTCCTGTCTCAGATGTCTGACTACTTTACGGAAGTCAGTACAATTTGGTCCCTGTCTATTTTACAGGGGAAGTGGAAGGAGACTGGCCAGAGCAACTAACATCACCATTGGTTGGAGCCAACATGATGGATTAGGGGCAGCCAACCAGCTGAACTCTCCCAACAGTCCTTTCCAAACAACTTTAAAATAACACCTCAAATCAAAGTTTGGAGTGGCAGAACCAACAAAAGGTTAGGGTGAGACATTTGTCTGGCCTAAGAAAACTTAAGAGGTCAGCAAGAGGACTCTGTAACACAGGGGTGTGGAGTCCTGTCCAGAATTGGTGCAACAGCAGCTGTAGCAACAGTAGCTTTGGGAGTTTTCAGCTCCTAGATGGTAAGGGTGGTTGTATAACTGGTCAGAAAGTGATTACAGACCTTTTGCTGGCACAGGTACAGCTGGTGCTGATTGGCAACTCTATTGCCCATAAGCAGTTGTGGGTTGTAGTTCCAGGGTAGATTGGAACTCTAGTGGTCATCACAAGGGAGCAGGGGCCCTGGTCACAATTCTAAAGCAAAGAAGAGGGTTAGCAATTGTGGCTGCAGGGTACTAGGGGCCCTTCCAGGGTAGACTAACATATAGAACAGGAGAGCCACACCCTTCCCAGGATTACACCACCTTGGAAGCACCAAAAACTTTCAGACCCCCCAGAAGTAAGTGAAAACAGCAGCGAAAAAAAAGGCCTAAAGCAAGCTGACATAGTGCTTCCTCACCTTCAAGTGAGCAGAGCTTAACTTTAACATAAAGTTCGAAGTCAAGAGTAGGCTGGTAAAATGAGCAAACAAAAAAAGAATTTGTCAGGAAAAGGCTACTATGGTGGCAGGGATGACCAAGATAGCTCAGAAGCTTCAGGCAAATCTAAGAAAAATGCTAACTGGAGCCAAGGCCAGCAAGAAATACTGGAAGAGTTGAAGAAAGAGATAAGAGTAGTAGAGGAAAAACTGGGAAGAGAAATGAGAGTGATGCAAGAAAATTACGAGAAGAAAATTACCACCTTGGCGAAACAGGCACAAAAGAATACTGAAGAAAATAACACCTTAAAAAACAAAATTGGCCAAATGGCAAAAGAGGCATGCAAATCCACTGAAGAGAAGAACTCCTTAAAAACCAGAGTTGGCCAGATGGAAAAGGATGTACAAAAATTCAGTGAAGAAAAGAACTTCTTAAGAAGCAGAATTGGCCAGATGGAAAAAGAAGTACAAAGTCTCACTGAAGAAAAAAATTCCTTAAAAATGAGAATGGGGCAAGTGGAAGCAAATGACAACATGAGACATCAAGAAACAGTACGACAGAGTCGAAAGAATGAAAGAATTGAAGAAAATGTGAAATATCTCATTGGAAAAACCAATGACCTGGAAAATAGATCGAGGAGAGATCACCTAAGAATCATTGGGCTGCCCGAATGCCACGATCAAAAAAAGAGCCTGGAGATCATATTTCAAGAAATCATCAAGGAGAACTGTCCCAATATTTTGTATCCAGAGGGCAAAATTGAAATTGAACGCATCCATCGATCTCCTCCTGAAAAAGATCCCAAAATGAAAGCTCCCAGGGATGTTATCGCCAAATTCCAGAACCCCCTGATCAAAGAGAGAATCCTTCAAGCAGCAAGAAAGAAACAATTCAAGTATCGTGGAGCCACAGTCAGGATCACTCAAGATTTGGCACCTTCCACGCTGAAGGAGCGTAGGGCTTGGAATATGATATTCCGGAGGGCAAAGGAGCTAGGATTACAACCAAGAATAACCTACCCAGCAAGATTGAGCATAATCCTCCAGGGGAGAAGATGGGCATACAATGACGTGGACGAATTCCATGCATTCCTGATGAAAAGACCAGACCTGAACAGAAAATTTGACATTCACAAACCAGATCCAAGGAGGCATAGAAGGGTAAACATGAGAGAGTAAGGGATTCAAAGTTAAACGATTTACATTCCTATATAGGAAGATGGTACATGTAATTCCTAAGAACTTTATCATTATTAGGACAGTTTAGGATAGAAGGAGTCTGCATAGACAGAGGGCACAGGTTTGAGTCAATTATATGTTTGAAAGATCTCTGAAAAAAAATGAAGGGGTGAGAAAGAGGTGATGAATTAGAGTAAGGGGGGAAGGGAGAGGTGGAATAGGGACAATTTCTTCACATAAAACAGTCACGCAAGAGAGAGCTTTTACAGTAGAGGAGAAAATGGGGGGGTGGGCAATGCTTGAATCTCACTCTCATCAGCATTGGTTCAAAGAAGGAAAAATATAATCTTTCCTCAGTTGTATATATAAATGTAACTCACCCAATAGTAAAATTAGGAGGGGAAGGGGATAAAAGAAAGGGGGGATGAAAGGGAGGGTGGATTTAAGGGAGGCATTGGTTAGTAGCCAAATAGACTTTTGAGGAGGAACAGGATAAAAAGAAGAAACAGAAGAAAATGGGATAGTTGGAAATACACAGTAATCATAACTGTGAATGTGAATGGGATGAGCTCACCCATAAGCCAGAATCCAACAATACATCACTTACAAAACAGAAAGGAAAGACCCACACAGTTAAAATAAAGGACTGGAATAGAAATCTAATTGCTTCAGCTGTAAAAGGCAGAGGTAGCAATCATAGTCTCAGACCAAACAAAAGCAAAAATAGACCAAATTAGAAGAGATAATCAAGAAAACTATATTATGCTAAAAGGTGCCATAGACAATGAAGTAATATCACAAATTTTTACAACAAGTTTCTCTGATAAAGACCTTATTTCTCAAATATATACCGAGTAGAGAACTGAGTCAAATTTAATTAAAAACAAGAGCCTTTCCCCAATTGATAAATGGTCAAAGGATATGAACAGTTTTCAGAAGACAAAATCAAATTTATCAAGTCACGTGAAAAAATGCTCTAAGATCACGACTTATTAGAGAAATGTAAATGAAAATAATTTGGAGGTACTACTTCATACCTTATCGGAAATGACAAATACTGGAAGGGATGAGGAGAGAATAGATACACTAATGTAATGGAGTAGTGAACTGGTCCAACTATTCTGGAGAACAATTTGGAACTATGCCCCATTTGGGCTATAAAACTGTACATACCCTTTGACCTAGCAATACCACTACTTCTTGTATCCCAAAGAGATGAAAGAAAAAGGAAAATGATATGCACAAAAATATCTGTAAGCTTTTTGTGATGGCAAAGAATGAAAATCAAGGGGATGCTCATCATTTGGAGAATGGTTGAACAAGTTATGGCATATAATTATGATGGAGTACTATTGTGCTATCAGAAATGACGAGGGAGATGGTTTCAGAAGAACATGGAAAACCTATATGAACGATCCGAAGTGAAGTGAGAAGAACTGGAAGATCATTGTGCATAGTAACAGCAAGGTTGTAATGATGATCAACTGTGAAAGACTTGGCTACTCTGATCAATACAATGGACAGTTCCAAAGGACTCAGATGAAAAAATGTTATCCACCTCCAGAGAAAGAACTGATTGAAATTATGAGTGCTAAGTGTATACGTTTCTCACTTTCTTTATTTTTCTTGTTCGTTTTTGTACTATGGATACGTGTTGTGCATGTTTTCACATGTGTAATTAATATCAGTGTTGCTTGCCTTCTCAGTGGGTGGGGGAGGGGTGGAAGGGAGGGAAATCTGGGACTCAAAATCTAAAAAGAAAAGAATGTTAAAGTAAATAAATAATAAATTAAATGTTAAAAAGGAAAACCACAAAAATAAAAAAAAATAAAAGATACCCATTAAAAAAACAATGACACTTGTGTATTGTTGATTAATTTTACTGAATATGTTTATGCTCTCCCCTCGCCCACCCCCTTTTATTCCTTATTTTAAGGATGCTCTTGGTGAGAGGGGAGTAAGGATACATTTTGAAATGAAGATATAGAAACAAAAGATATAAATAAAAATACATTTGAAAAGGGTCACATTTCCCCCTTTCCTTTCATTGCTGAGGTAGTAGACAATGCCTGTAACAAAGTCGAAGGCAAAGACAGTGGTTTTTGCTGCTGTCTTCTTTCGCTCCTTATAAGGGAAGGGGCTTCACTGGGTATAGAAAGGTAGAAGGAATTATGTTGAAAATGAACATAATATAAAAACAAAAGGCAGAATCAATTAAAAATCCCACTGACTCTGGTGGGGGGGGGGGGGTTGAATCCTATATCTAATGCCTTACCACCACCCTAAGCCACCTTAGTTCTGTAAGGGGTTGAAGCTTTGTCTTCCACCTCTAAATCTATATAATATACTATGAAATTGAATATTGCCAAAGCAATAATTTTAGCTCCTAAATTGATTGGGGGTGGGGGTTGCTGTTGAGAATGGGAATCATAACTGTTGTCAAAAGGCTTCACGATTTCCCCTCTGCAACATCTCGAATGCCCTCTTCTCTCCTCTGACACTGCCACCACCCTGGTTGCAGGCCTCATCAACTCAATGCTTGGATTATTATTGTAGCAGCATGCTGTGGGTCTTAGGTCAAGCCTGCCTCAAGTCTTTCCCCACTCCAATTCATTTATTCTCCATTCAGTTGTCAGAGTGAGTCCTAAAGCCCAAATCCTCCATCGCACCATCCAACACTGCCCCCCTCCCCCAAAGTGGCTCTCCTGTTGCTGCTAGGATCAAATACAAAATGCTCTGTTTGACATTCAAAGCTCTCCATAACCAACCCCTTCCCCCCCCTTCCCCAAACAAGATAATCTATCTCTTGCCTGGCCTTCTTACAGGAAGCCTTTCCCAATCCTTCTTAATTCTAGTGCCTTCCTCCTTTTAATTATTTCCTATTTTTCTTGTATATAGCTTGATTATACATATTTGTTTGCTTGTTGTCTCTTCCATTAATTGTGAGCTCCTTGAGGGCAGGAACTGTCTTTTGCCTCATTTTTGTATTCCCAACACTTAGCAATGCCTGGTATATTGTAGGTGCTTAATAAATGTTTATTGATTTTTGGCCATAGCAGTTCCCTAAGAGAATAGCTGCACCTGAGTAGACTGAGAATCTGCATTGAGATTTCTCTATATTCGTGGATCCATGGAAAGACTTCCCAAGTTGAGAACAAGAATCAGTTCCCAGATGGAGGGTTCTTGTGGGTCAGGGTACTGATGGGAGATAAATCTCATAGATGCACTAAGTAGTGCTGAACTGAAAGTTGATCTTAAGAGACTCCCAAGGCCCTGCTTCAAATCCTTGCTCTACTGTAACATGAAAATTTACGGACTGTAGAGAATGGAGAAAATTCAACTGCCCTCCCCCCCAGAAAATTCACGCAGGAAATCGGGGTATGGGCCATTTTCCCTGTTTCCTCCTCAGCAAAACTGAGGCCCAAGTTATGGATCTCACGAGTCCTTGAATGAATTTAAATACACTAGAAGGATGATACCTGCTTTCAAAGGAAAATATGTTTATTTTTTAAAATTCTAATCATTCTTGGTGGAGAAATGGTTGTTTAAATTGTTTTTGCAAATTCATTTTTCTTCTCTTTGTAGAAAAATTGTGTTCTCTTCTATTTTCATCCCTTAGGATGGTACAAACCTCCTCTGCCACATTCTTTTACATTTGCAGTTACACACATACACATAAGCCTATCTATTATACATATATTGTTGATGTACATACGTGTATGTATATATATATATATGTATATATATATATATTTCTTGTTCTTTCTAGGGTTCTGCATATTAGGGACAAGATATCACAAAACCCCCACACTCTCCATACAGAAAAGAAGTAAACTAATCTACAAAAAGAAAAAGTATACTGGGAAGTCACAAAGTGTCAAAATTCTTAAGGAATGAACACATTTAAAACAATCATTTTAATCTAGTTTCACCATCCTTATGGTAAAGCTAATTCTTTTGATTTGTTATTTTAGTTTAATTTGCCAGTTCTTGGATGACTGAACATTTTAAGCCAGCTCTACTCTTGTTGCTTTTTCCCCCTAGTCTTTAACAGACCCAATGACTTAAAAAAAAATTCAGCCTCACTCAATAATCAAATGGAAAATGAAAATAAGGGTGTGGCAGCCATCAATGACTAAGAATAACTTTGGATGATAAAAAGAAGGTAAAGCC